GGTTGCCCTTCTTTCTGATGGTCTGGTTCAGCTTCAAACTGTCTGCATCCTCCAGGTTGTCTGGGCTGTGACAGGTCAGGTGCACACATTCAGCTCTTCATGGAAACATGGTATCTGCCTTAGCAGGGATGTGCTTTCCTGCCTTTCACCTCCCTGCTGCCTCGCTCCATTTCCCTGAGGTACAGTGAGGCCCTTTCCCTGTGCTGTGCATGGAACTGTCCCATCCTCCCTTGGAAGCAAATTGCTGTGCTTTCCAATCATTAGTCACCTCCAGTCCTGCCCTCCCCTGGCTCTGAATGCCACGATGTGAGTCATTCCCAAGTTTTCTTGGCAGACAGACTCCCTCGGAGTAACAATTCTGGCCGCATTGCTGCTGCATTTGTCATATGATTGAAAAGGTGCTGAGAGACTCTCACCAAGTTGGAAAAGCAGAACCAGCCTCTTTCCCAGCAGATACTCTGCTTCGCCCACACCTTCCCCTTCCAGGCTGCTGTTTGCATCCCAGGCAGTAAGATGGATGGGAAAGATGGGTGCAGATGTAGGATGAGCAGGAGATGCTGTGAGCGTGGCAAGATTAAAGCAAGGTGACATCAGAAGACTTGAGAGGACTTTAAAAGGTGTCAGTGTTCTGGAAGGATAAAGAGCTTTGAGATACACACAGGAGCTCTTTAAGGCCATGAGTCTGGCAGAAGAAAGCATGGAAGAGAGAAGGCAGATGTGGCCCAGCCCAGATGAGCATCACGGTCTCCTCATATCTTTGTGCTGCTCAGTCTAGGTGAAGAAACTTGCAAACGGAGCTGAAGTTCTTCCAGTTTCCATACCAGTTTGATATGAATTTTCATGGGGGAAGCATTCTTAAAATGGACACTCTAAATCACTTGACCAAAGCATAGGCTTTTCTTGCCCTGAGCTCAGTGATGGGCTCGGTCTCTTGGGCTCACATTTGACAGTCAGGTGCTTGGGCCAAAGTCATATGAAGTGCACGTGTCCACAGAGATGATGTCATGTCTATAGTCCTATGTCCAGGCTGTGTAGGTATCAATTTGCCTGTTCATGATGCCGTGTGGGTAGTAACATCTCTACCTGCAAAAAAAAAAGATAATCTGTAAATCTGGGCAGAAAAGCTCGAATTTGAGCTTGTGGAGTGCCTAACTACATAGGCTTGTGTTCAGCCATATAAATATGTGTTTGTGTCTACATACTTATATTTTTCATATAAATGAAAGTCATCAACGAACAGGAAAACAAAGCAAATCCTGAGCCACAAATCCCAGCAAGGTGATGGATATGCACAAACCTGGGGCCGATCCACATGCCGTAACTCGGGCAGAAGAGTGGGGACAAACGCATTAAGTCTGAGGGACACATGTGCATGGTGCCGGGAGAGGGGTGTAGGGACACAACAGGACCCTTGTCTCTCTGGTAGGCTTCTATTGGGGTAGGTGAGGGGACTAAAGACTGACAGCAGGAGCCTCGTAGATTCAACATGTAGTTTTTAACCAAGGGCCTCTAACATTGTGCACCGAGAAGAGACCCATTGCTTTCAAAGGGAAGTCCATGGACAATGTGAACTCCTTCGTGTTTGATGTCAGGCCAAAGCCTCTCTCTGCAGGATCATTGCCGAAGTTTGTAAATTAAACGTGCAAGACACGGGAAGGTCAGTGTTCTGCTCTCCATCTGACCTCTCATGGGCACCATGTCAGGGTTCATTGTAAATAACTTTTGTCTCATGAGCAGAGTTTACTTTTTGCTGGGTCCTACAACAATGTTAAGAAATATCTCAGCATTCTTGCACTTTCTCCTGTTGTTCACACAGATCAGATCCAGGTTGGCTTTAGGAAGCTGATTTTTTTTTTAAGATAAGGAGGTTTATTTTGGCTTAATCTCTGTCCCCACTTATCACTTGGTTTGAGTGCAGACTGTTGTTTCTGAAGTGAGAAGCACATTTCAATAACGACCATTGTGTCTTCAGTCGCCTTTTTTTTTTCTGCTTGTGTGTTTTTGTTTCTCCACCAAGGCAAACTAATGATTTCTCACATAAATCAACAGATAAAATGCACCCAAGGGAGTCAAAAAAAGCCAAGGCCACGTCCTCAGCCCTTGATTAGTCCAAATTCTCTCTGAAGTCAATGGGAATCTGACAACACACAAGTTGCTTTATGGTATCTACAAGAAAGAAGGGAAGAAGGAAAGAAAGAAGGAAGAAAAGAAAGAAACAGTGAAAATTAGATCAATAAATCTCCAGGACTGAGGTGTCTGGTGGCTGGCAGAAAACAAATATGATACCTGTCCTAATGAGGACCATGGAATTTGTTCTTTCTGTTCTTGGCACCTTGCATGTTATTGGGTTTTTGTGTGTTCTGGGGAAGTATACAAACTTCACAGCCTGTTAAAGGAGTTCATGTAGCAACGTTTGGCCAAAAAGTATCCAACAGCCAGAAAAGAACATGGATGTGTTGAAAACATATTGTGCCAAACCAAGGTGTGATCACCTTCCTGAGTTAGTAGATACAGAGAATGCAGCAGTGCACTGTTGTTATTGGTAAGATCCCCAGCGTGCAGCAGGGTGCCAAGGTCACTAGTGGATGTGACCCTTATTTCATGACTGCAAAACCAGTCCAGCTGGTGGTCAGGTAGGGATTAGCTCTTCATCCTGGTTCCTTAGTGCTGCAGAGAGTGTTTGGGGTTTGTGGAGAGTGGGTGCCATCTCCAGCAGGGCTGGTAGAAGGGAGCAAGGACCTCTTGATGAAGGCAGATGTGTTATAGGTGAGGACCAGTGGGAAGGGGCTGTGTGTGGTGGGTTCAGAAACTGTTGCTGCATTTGGACATGGGCTGGGAGATCCTGCAGATACACTGGGGGCAGCTGCAGAAACCTGCACTAACCCAATTTCACCTATGGCCTGTGGTGCCAAAAGCAGAGGAGGATAGAGCCAAATCGGAGCAGAGGGGAGTAAATCTGCGCTAGGGATAAATGAAAAATGACTGAGGAGCAGTTCAGGGAGAAAGAATGAGGGCAAAGAAGATCCTAAAATACAGTGAATAATAAAATAAATGCAAGTTCAGTTTGCCATTCTTAGGAGTACACACTCCTATAGCCTTGAAGGACCTCATACAGATGTTTTTTTTTTTATCAGTCTTGGCCAATGCAAGTTAAGAGATGTAAGCATAGAAATGATGTAAATAAACATGGTGCAAGGTTAGGTATATAGGGAGGAGGGATATTTAGTGTGCTTTTAAGAAACACTTCATATTTTATTACTAACATGCTCAAGCAATGATGCAAACATAGGGAGGAAACTATTAATTCTTGGAAGATGACTAGATAACAGCAGTGATCACACGCAGGCAAAGCTTATGCCTCGCCTTTACATGGTTATATGTCTTTGTTTTTGGTTTAACCCACTGGGTCTCCAGCTTCATGTCCAAAATCCTTCTGCTGCTGGTGATCCTGATGTAACCTCTTGGTAAATGCATTACTGCTCTCCAAACAACGCATGGAGACCTCATGCATCACTGCAACACTTGGTGGCAGAATCAGAGCTTCTGATTCCTCATTTGCCAGATCAGTCAGGGTTCAGATCTCCTGAATTACTTCCAGATACTGATATATGCCCATCCTTTCCCTAATGAGCCTGATTTACTTGAGATTTCAGAGCACTATAAAAAGGTGTTTTGGGACTAAACATATATGCAGAAGTCATTAAAACCAAATAATGAGATCTCACTGGAAAGGCAACCCTTGCCCGCAGCCTGTCAGGTCCCATTCTGTGGTGTCTGAAATGCAGCAGCTATTTCCCCTTCCTTGGAACAGGAGATGATTTCATCCTTTCATACTGTTTCCTGTAGCAACATCACTATATGCCAAGCTTTTTAGTGGGAAACGTTAGGCACCTAATTCATCCAGCTTGCATGAGAACTGCTGATGACAATCCACAGCATGAATCTTCCCTGAAGCAGTGTTTATTTAACCAGTGTTTAGTGAATTAGTTGTCTAATCTGTCTGTCTAATCTGTGTGTAATTAGCTCCTTTTGAACCATCATCCCATGCACCTAATTCCGTGAAAAGATCCTGGTAGGTGGAGAAATGTGGCTGTTGAAATTAAGGGCACTACATTGGTACAGCCAAGCTCAGAGTCGAGCATGATGTGGCAGTGCTGGAAATTGCTCTGCTTCCATGGGCCCCATTTTAAAATGTGGGATATAAACTGTACTGATTAAAAAGTATGAGAATCTGTCAGTTAATTTTTCGTATCAAGCCTAGGCTTGCACATTCAGACCAGTCATTTCTCCACAAGGAGATCTTTCAAGATTACGTACCCATTTGCTCTTGCATATCTTCATATTTTTTTCTGCAGCAAAGGGTGTTTTGGGAACATCCAGTTCTCCATATTCATGGTCTGGATGAGTAATTGGCAGCTGTCCTGAGTATGTGTCCTTATGCATTTATGGATATTTATGACCTTCTTTACTAGAGGGATGAATATATCTTGTCTCCATGGACCCTTCTGAGTCTGCTTTATTTTTCACTTTCTTGTGGCTTTCCTCATCACCTTCAGGTTGTTCATAGCTGCACAGCTGCCTGTGCCAGTACAGTAATGTCTCAATACTTGAATACTTGAGGAGAGATGCTGAAGCATCATTTCTGCTATGGACAAGAGCGGCAAGCTCAGCAGACTAGAAGTTTCTATGGCAGTTCCTATGTCCCTGTGGTCCTTGCAAACTCTGCCTTCTGCCTGTGGTTTCTTTCTGCTATGCCCTAACACCTCAGCTGCCATTAATTTGAATTCTCAAATTCATAGGCAGGAACTATCTGTTCTGCAAATTGAGCACACTTCTGAATTGGGAGTCCACAGTCTTTAACCAGAAGATGGCACAATGCAACCGTGCTATGAACCTGGCTATTATTTCTAAGCCTCGGACCATCAGAGAGCTCCACCTAAATAAGAGAAAGTTGCCAAGAAGAGCTGCACTCGGCTGTTGCCTGAGGGCTGTGTGGCGGCACCGAGGTGAGTGCCAGTGCATTGCAAGTCATGCATCACTCTTCTTGGGCTCTTCTCGTTCCTCTGCAAATATACCCAAGTGTGTGCACGCTCCTCTCGTCCCTATGCCACGTGCATGCCTGGGTGAGAATATTGCAGTGATGTTCATATGCTTCATGCTTTTGACAGCAGCCCACCTGCTTAATCAGTCCAACACTGACCGATCTCTTGCCCTCCAACAGACGCAGGTGAGATCCCAGGAACTAGTGCATCAAGGAGACAGAGCTGTCGTTGCCCGCCAGTGCACTCCTGCGCCCACCAGCGTTCCTCTGCCTCCCTTCCTGCAAGCTTCCCGGGACTCTTAGCCCAGATGCAGGCTCTGCACTGTGCTGCAAAGTCATCACGGTTGAATTTGCATCAAAATCTCTGGCTGGGATCTTTACAAGCTGGGTGGGGTGACAGCTCTGGAAGGATGTAGCTCAGAGCCAGGCACCTCCATGGCTGTAGGTTATTTGTCCACTGTACAGGGAAGGGTGTTGTGGCCAGTGGGATGCTGGTGTCATCCTGCTCTTGGGGAGACTGAAAGTCCAATCCTTTCCCAAACAGAAAACATGTGCCTATAACAAAATAAGAATTTGGGCATGCAGCAGATACATATAGCAAAGAGCCCATCTCCTTGGTTTTGTTGCTACAGCTGCATTGGCTGCGGCCACAGGCAAGTATGCAGATTTGTATGACAAATGCAGTCATCCTTTTTGTGCCTCTGACAAGACTCTTGGGTGCATTGCATGACTTTAGCCGTCAGGACTTGCAAAGCCGTCCAAGAGTCCTATATGAAGGGGCCTGTAGGCATGCTAAGCATTTTGGTGCTGAGGATGGATTATTTTAAGGCTGGGCCCAATTAACACTGTTAATGATGCGAGTCTGACAGGCAGTAGTCCAACAGTAGTTCCTCAAGGTACAGCAGCTCCTCCAGGTACAGTTGCTCCAGGATGAGCGACTGAGCAAAGGCCACGTGCTATCACTCCTATGACCTTCTGCATCTCCTAGCTCGTCCTGTCATCAAAGGTTTGCCACTGGCTGTCGCCATAAGAGATGTGTCCCAGAGGTCTTGTGTCTGTCCTCAAGACTAGAAAGAAACTCCTGGAGTTTCTTTGGTTATCACTGATGTTTTTTTATTTCCCATTTATTCCCTACTCAAACACAACACTTTTGCCTACCCAGGAAGATATAGGTTCAAGAAAACTGTAACAGTAAAGAAAGCTCGAGGAAAAAAAGAAATACTTGCTTCTGCTGTCTCTTTTCGTAGTGGAATTAGCTTTCTTTGGGGTGCTTGATGATATTTGTTTTAAATTATCCTCCTCTGAACAGGAATTATTGTGACTAATTTGGATTTCAGGGCATAAATCCAACGTTGGAAGACTATAATAACATGGTAGCTCTTTACCATTGAATTACATGTTAAATGTCTTACAGTGGAACTGTAATTACATGCTCACACCAAGCTCTGACAAGTAAACAGGATTATAACAGTCTCTGGAACCAATGTTTGCATGAATTCTTCAAGAGAAAAGAGAGACTTGAGGACACATGTGGAGTTTATTTTCTGGCTGAAACCGTATCACTATTATTTATTATTTGGACACCGTTGCTGTGCATGGCAAGGTGCAGTTTGTGTGGTACTGCCCAGCTAAGCAGGAGGCAGATATGAAAAGCAGTGAAGGTAGGTTTTGGCAGTAGATTTTCTGCTCCCAGAGTGTCTTTGTGAGAGCTTCTGCCTTCAAGAAGCTGAACTATAGCTTCAGAAACGCTGGGACTCGGAGCTGAATCCTGTGTCCCAGCTCATCAGTGCTCAGCTTGCTGCCAAGCCACGTGCTCCACGTCTGCTCGCTATCCTCTATAAGCTCTCCCCTTGATAGAGAGTGCTGGTGTGTTCTGCTTGGTCCCTTGATCTGCTTAGTGTCATCTGCTTGATAGGGATGCTGGTGCATCCCCTCCCAACCCCTGGGGGCTGCGTGGTGAAGAGACACTTTAACACCCTGCGTCCCGCATTCCCTGGTGGCACCTGGGTCTTCATGTGGGTGTTTTCGCTTCTGGCTCGCAGGAATGGGGGCATGGCTGGCTATAAATCAGGAGCTTGCAAGTGATTGGCATTTTGAACTGGCAGTGTGATGCCAGAAAAAGGGCTGACATTTGGCTTATGCGTTCTCCCTGCCAAAGCTTGGGAATGTCCTTCATGATGATCCTTGCCCCACTGAAAGCCGTGCAGATACGTGGCTTTAGGACTGTGAGGTCTGGAACTGCAGCATGTGTGCTGCAGGTAGGCTTGGTCTCCAAAATGACATTACTCTTCTGCAGTGGGAAGTGCCCATACCAAGACACTGATGTTTAGCAGGAAGGACCAGGGGTCCAGAACTGCAGCTGGCTGAGTGATTTCAGCCTCATGACTAAAATTCTCAGTGCACCTTGCTTCCCCATAAAATGAAAATATTGACAGATTAGGGAAGCAGGTGGCTACGAGACTTTATTTATAAATGGGGGTAAAATCCTCTGAGGTGCAGGAGTGAGCAGACTATTACATATCCATATGGCAATCAAGCAGCTTGCTTAAAAGCAAGTTTACAAATCATAAGCCTAAGAACGGATGACCACAGGTATTGGATATACTGGTTTCCTGAGGCATACAAACACGATCCTAGCTCTAGGCAGAAAAGAAGCCTGGGGACAGCATGTATTTGGTATTTCATCTTGCAGGTTCATGCATCTCAATTTCCTTGCATCTTCCCCAAGGGTTTTCCTAGAATAACCAGTTATTGTCCTGGATGCCTTTTGCTCACCTGAAAATGTTTTAAGAACATTTTGATTGGGAAAACAGATGTTTTTGTCAAGTTCGTGTATGACTCATTCAAGTTTGCATATTTGCTGCTTGTCATGTAATTTTGCACCCTTGGTGTTACAGCCCTGCTTGGTCAAGGCTGCAGTACTATGTTGCCAAACTTATCCAAGTGCAGAGTTCACAGCTTTAGTGCGCAGGATGCCCTTGACTACAAGTAGGAAACCAGTCTGAGACTTGGCAGTGTAATGAGCAGCTTCCTCTACTGCTCTCCAGGGCAGCATTGCAGAGCCTTCCTGCAATGTACAACGGGACTTCAGATTAAATCTAGACTATAAATGTGAAGAGCCTAGAATATAAATGTGAAGGGGCCTCCAGGTAGTGGAACTTTCCTACTGGATCATAGCAGCGCTAAATGTGGTTTACAGTTTTATCCTTCTTGAAAGAAACAAAAAGACAAAGAGGCAATGCAATCTGTCAAGAGCTGAATATAGGAAGGTATCAGTTTCTTTGAATGCCAGCATCAGACGAATGAAAAGAGACAAGGTCAATTTGCACATTCTCATCCCCAGGTGGGGAATATCAAAAGAAAAGCCCTTTTCAGATGGTAAAGGACTTAGCCTAAGAAAGAAATACATATTTCTAGGTCTGTTGGAGGAACATTCTGTCAGAGATCATAACATAGTACAACTTTGCCTTTGAATGAACTCGTCAGAAATATCATAGTGGTACTGTGCTAGCTTCCACTCTACCTTGAGTTTTGTGTCCCTTTTGAAGGATCTGCAAGTCCTTCTGCAGATCAGGCCCCAGCACACTTGCGAGAGATAGGCAAATAGTGGCTTCTAATGATTGAGATGCCCTTGCATGTGTCATCTTTGCCCTTTGGGGATGTGGACCTATGTGTAGTGAAAGTAGTGATGCAAGCACGCAGGTGCTAGTAACCATGCATTTCTACTAAAAAAAAAAAAGAAAGGTTGTCTTATTTCCTATTCACACATATACTCGTGCAAATGTCCTCTTGTCCCATATTCTCTTGACAAGCCATTTTTCATGGCAAGAGATCTGCATTTGTGCTGAAGGATGCTGCTGTTTCCTCACCTCACAGCTTTCAAACCACGTAGACCTGCTTCCTGTGCCCAGATTCCCACCACCTCCTGCAGGACTTCTTTGGAAAGGTGATTTGTCCTGTTGCTTGGGTATTCCATCAGCGTGAGTGAGCTATGCAGTGTGACTCAGAAAACACTCTTTGGGGCTAAATCCTGCTCTTCGTTACCCAGATCTTCTGAGCCAGGTTCCTTTGCAGGATTGGAAAGCTGAAACACTTAGTTGGTGAAATGCTTAGTTGGTGAAAGCAGAGCAATCCCTTGGACCATTGCCTTCCCCTAATGCACGTTTACTCCATTTACTGGGTTTTGAAAAGCTGTGTACCCTGCCATAGCACCCTAAAGTAAGAGCATCTGGGGTCAGTGATTTGGAAGAACTGACCTGTGATTTTCTCCTTTTGCTTTCCAATCTATTCTGTGAGGAATCCCCCACTGATCCTTGCTTGCAAATGACTTCAGTGTCTGTAATCTGAGTCCTGCACCTCAGTGCTGGATTATAGCATAGACTCACCCTGTTTGGTTGGGAATGGTGGGTTCATGCATCATGTGTTATTCAGGTTGATCATCCTCATAATTCTGCCTGGCCATAAAAGGTATTAATTTTTCTCCACGATGCCTGATCTGGATTTCCTTGTCTAAGACTCAGGATGTGGTAGTCCCTGGAGGATTCTTTTGCACTATATAACTTTACAATGTTCAATTCCTTCTCTCCGTTTATCCCTCTCAAGTGCTGTGCTAAAGTAGGAGTGGCTGTGTCCATAATCTGTCTGTCAGCTAATGGTCTCATAAGAACCGAAAAATGTGTTCATGTTCTTATCCTTTCTGTATTAGCAAACGGTTTATGGAGAAGACATTTGGATTGTGGTTAGGAAAATGACAGGAAAAAAATGCACATAGCTGGTCTTTATGTACATGTATATCTGTTCTCAGCCCAAGTGCTGGTTCTTGTCCCATTATTAGCAGAGAAGAAGTAACACCTGCATAAATGGCAGGATGAGTTAAGTTATGCGTTACCAAAACTCTCCATCTAAGCTCTGACTATACAACGTTGATGATTGTAGAGATGAGAGAACCTTCTTGGCTCTCTCCTG